CTAGCAAGGAGATCGGGCTGAAACTATAGCTACAAGCTATCCAAGGATGGTACTATAGAATGTCACCTCAAGGTAGGCCTAGTGGCGTCATCTCTTGGTTAGGCCGGAAACTTATCAATCCACCCTCGTATTATTTAATAATTTGTTTGCTTGTATGTACCATCAGAGAACCTACGTGAGAATATGTATGTTTCATAAATAAACACTTCAAACGGCAAACTTTCCAAAACTAAGGTCTAATAGCTTATATAAAGGTGCTACAGTATTAGGTATTAGGTACCTACTGCTATGATGGGATATATATTTATTTACTCGTTGTGCAACAATTTAAAAGGACGACTTGTATGCATCCGTGATTTAAGAGAAAAACCCGTTTTAGAACTCCCAAGTTTCAATGATGCATGGATTTAAATTAAAATAAAAATCTCTAAAATTAGTCCAAGACCTACACATATTGCTGCTGACCTTCAATTATTATGACTTTGGTACTATTAGGGGTCGTCCATAAAATACGTCACTCAGAAGTTTACCTTTTTTGACCCATCCTTCTCCCTTCGTCAAACTTTTAGCGACCCCTTTAACAAATATCAGGCTAGAAAAGCTAGTCCACTCTCCCACCTACAAACGATCTCTTGTGATTAAAAATAGTAATGAGAATGACTTTCTATTATATAATGAAAATATGTAAGAACTGCTAAGTTGAATTTTACTTCACATTTCCTTAGACCCCCTACCCCTTGTCATATCTCATCACTCTACGCAATACGCCCTGCCTTGAATTGAAGAAAAAATTTAAAACCTTGTTTTTTAATACTTTTATTCCAATAGAAAAATTTGCGTGCCTGCTACATTATTTAAGAAAAACCTAACCTTTGAATTATGAATTACTTTGGAAGAAAAACTATTTTATGTGCTTATGTTATATTTTACACACTTGCCTCTTTACAATTTTAATGTAAATAACGCATATTAGATAACGCGTTCTCATTAAATTTGCAAATTTGAGATAGTATTTATATGATACGTGATAATATTTTACAATGACTTACACTTTCTATTGTTTCCAGGTAGAAATCTGCAATTTGAGTTACTGGAGCTTTCCACGAGAAAGTGTTGGCATTTGGCATCGTTCTTCAGCGGAAGTATTTCAGAAATGCGACCCATTACTAATAATGATTGCGTGCTTAATTGAGTGCGACGGGCGGTGGTGGTCGTGGTTTATGTAGGTGATTCGGGATATTTTACTGGTGTGTTACCATCACGGCAGGTCGTTTAAAAACTCTGGGCCGCCTTTGGGTGACCAGCTTTCTGGTCGCACTGGCGGCCGCAGAAACACAAGACTTTTTAGTGACCAACACACTTCCAGATGGTGAGATCGAAACATGGATACATTATCGAGGAATTGCAGCAAAAGAAACAACTGTTGGGTCCAAGTAAGTCAAGTACTTTTTAGTCTTATAATCTTAGAGGGGTGTTCGTTTCTATTGCAAGCGTGAAGCATTCAATGGGGGTGCTGTTGAAATCGTGGGTACTAAACAGGGTAGTAAACTGTGACGATTAAAGGCAAGGCGAAGTCTGTGCGCACATTTATATACTTCGAGGTTAAGATTGTCGCAATTATGTATTTTTGTCAGACTTACCATATTTAGGGTGATTTCAATATTTCGTATAGTTTGCATTGAAAGCGACTCAACCCTGCGCTATCCTCTGCTTTATATATCTACTACTCCTTCCGTCCTGACTTATCTGACTTCCTAGATACCTAAAATCAGTCACTTTTTCTAATCATTCGTCTCCTGTCTTTATATTCGATCTTTCCCTACTTTTTTTCCCTTACATACCAGTACTTTTGTTTTACTTTTATTTATTTTCATACAGTATTGTTTTGACAATACCGCTTCCATTTTATTTAAAGCTATCTTTAACTTCTCCTTGCTAAATGCTAATACTGCTATATCATCTGCAAATCTAAGCATACTAATATTTTGTCCCTATATATCTATCCTCACAGTTGTACTGTCTTTAATGATGTTGATCGCGTCTTCGATGTATATATTAAAAAGTAGCGGTGACATTGTGCATCCCTGTCTGACTCCCTTTCTAATATTTACTACTCTACGTTGCAGCTCTATCTCTATAACTGCCTGTTGCTCTTTATACAAAGTATGAAGTATCACTCTTCTATTTCTGCAACGCGTCCCTACATTTCTGATTATATTTAACATTTTGTCCCATTTAACATTGTCATAAGCTTTTTCTAAATCTGCAGATCCTATGTACGCATTCTTTCCTTTTTCCATCGTTTTTTCTATTGTTACCTGTAAAGCTAGAATGAGCTCCCGCGTTCCTCTATTTCTTCTAAACCCCAATTGATCTTTTTTCCCTTTTTCCGTCCTCCTCTGTACAATTCAGGTTAAGATTTTTGACGCATGGGAAGTTAAGCTAATTGTTCTTAAAGTCACGGACATATCCGAGCCTCTCGTTATAGATGTGGTTACTACCATCTTCCGTTTATAATTCTCCGGGACTTTCCTGTCTCGTAAATGTGACTACTGTTCGTTTCATGAAGTTGGAGATATGCCCCTTCCCTTTATTAGGATGCGCCGTAGCATAATTCCAAATTCAATCATATTTATCTGCGTAGCTCATTTCTTCATCGATCATCGAGCGAGAGCTAGAGAAAAGTGTACAGTACCATTTGCAAAATTATTTAAACTGCCTCGTTAAAATTTAGGAATATGCTTTATTAATAAGCATATTTAGCCAAAAATAATAACAAGTGAATTAATTTAACTTTCTACACACCTATAAAACTTTTACTTTGTTTTCTATTGTTAATTCATATACATTTTTGTTTTAAGAAATGGCTAAACATTTTCGACTAGTACTGTACAGTTCTAGCCGATCTCCTAAGACCGCCCATCGAGAACTCTGCTCGTTCAAGCTTGTTCCAACTATTTCTGTCTTGCTAATGTGTGTTTTTTCTATCTTCGCGCAGATGTCTTCAGGGTCACAATTCAAACAAATTGAAATGGGCTGTAACTACCCCGATAGCCACATTTACTTCATATTTACGAAAAATTTACTATTCGTATCATCACGACATGTGTAAAGGTTGCTCACCTTGTGAACGTAAAAATTTGTAACATATTGTCTGCATTTCATGAGTCAAACGAATACTAAACACGAAGACAACTTTTCGTAAATTGAATTACTTTCGTAATTTACGTAAAATAGACATACCATTTAAGACATTGAAATGAAGAAACCTATGAGGCACATATGAGGGCAAGATTTACTGTACTACATGCAGCAATGTTTCTCATCATATTTAGATAAATTTTAACTCATGATATGATGGTAAATAATTGACGGTAAAAAAATTGAAAGGTATATACATATTTGAAAATAATTAATTAATATTTTTTAATCGTACACATCATTTTGCTAAAATGCTTATTTCAAAGTATTTATAATGAATTGTATTTACAATTGTATGTAATATTTTATACAATTCATTATATATTGTTTGAAATAAATTAGCAAACTGTATACAATTAAAATATTTTAATCAATTATTTTCGTATTTATTAGTATTACGTTATACAGTAGCTACATACATATACAAAAAAAATATTGTAGAATTAATGTTTTATATAAATTCCTTTTACATTTTTAAAGTATATTATGAAATTATATGAAACATATTATACCTATGGTTTTAACAAAAAGAATATAAAAATGATTAATTTATAAAAAATATGTTTATATAAATCTATGTATATATATAAAGGTTATATATTAATTTTTGGTATATCATATTCACTGTCACTGTTTTTCTGTGTTCATTTTCTTTGAAGTGATATAAAATTGCCCAAATCTTCTGACAAAACTTACTCCATATTTGATAATGATTTTAACATCTTCTCTTCAAAAGTACGAGGATGTTGTATTATTATTAATGTTTTCCTGGATTCTGGATTATATGTGGTTGATAATATCCAGCTTCTCTACTGAATATATATTTGTTAGATCTTCATAGACTAGGTCTTGATTACTTGAATTATTAGCTTGCATTAGTGATGCTTTTGAAGAGTTATACTAACGCTTTAACGAAATTCTCTTCTCTCATTATGGGATAACCTAACGCATCTATCTCCACACCATTTTTATTCTCTAATATATCTCCTTACTCATGGCCTGCGAATAGGTTCTCTAAATATTCTTTCTATCTATGTGGTTTTTCCTCATTTTCTATGAAAATGACCCCTGGCTTGTCTCTTGTATTATTACTACTGTACCCTACATCTCTAATTCCTTTTAATTATCATTGTTCATCGTACGTCCATCAAAATAAAATAACGAGAAAAATTAGGCAAAACAAATAGTATGGTGAAAGGATCTGATACATCTAGCGAAAAATACTGTCATTCGAAATTATGTACGTGTAAGATGGCCTATTCACTGCAATTTATTTTCATGCTGTATATGCTTCTTTTATTATTATAGGCGCATAAGGTAGTAAAGATGGTAATAATTTCCGGCATGTTTGAAGAGATTGATACTCTTGCAATTAGTTTCGTTGTCAAAGATCAGTATTCTCAATCACATTACCTACATCAGACCGTGGAATTTAAGGTAGTAATAAATTTTATGTAATAAGATTTAGAAATCTGATAATCTGTTTAACAGTCAAAATGGAATTTGTAAGATGTGACTTCAGTATTTATTCATAAGCGAACTTGAGACTAACAAATGTACTAATTGTATGATAAAAGGCGTTGTGTCTTCTGCTGATTTATTATACTAAAGTAACAGACAATAAGTTGCCATTTATGTTTCTATAATTTGTTAAATATCCATAAAGAACATTAAATTTTAACTTTTTATGTTTAATGACTTTAGAGTTAAAAATCTTGTGACAAACGTTCTCTTCCACATCTTTGTTTGCTTTGGCATAGGTATGAGAAATTTCTCTGAAGTTCTTGCTAGAGTTGGGACGTTCAAAATCGGCATAGTCCTCAATAAAACTGTCGCATTTACTCTCTTCTTTCAACTAGACTAGAGCGGTCGTAAACAAAGAAAAGAGATGTCAGGTAGGAATTGCAGCGGACACTAATGAAGAAAAAGGAATAACATTACACCAATTAATGTGTAACAGAAAGAGATGCAGACAGGCCGAATTTGAGCATGTTGCCAGCATCGGACTGCTAAGAAAGTTCAACTTTCTCAGGAATTTAGGAAAGCAAAAACGTTTATTTAAAGATATAATTCGAAGCAGCCTGTTATAAACTTAGTAAGTAGACCGGAGCGGTTGCTAATAAAACGGCTACTTTTACTCACGACAGACGTTATAAGGAATATGGTAAACAAAAAAAAGAGATGTCAGGTAGGAATTGCAGCAGACACTAATGAAGAAAAAGGAATAACATTGCACCAATTAATGTGTAACAGAAAGAGAGGAAGACAAGCAGAATTTGGGCATGTTGCCAGCATCGGACTGCTAAGAAAGTTCAACTTTCTCAGAAATTTAGGAATGCTAAAAGACACTTGTTGAAAGATATAATCTCAAAGAGGTAGGTTAGGTTAGGTTAGGTTAGGTTAGGTTATTTTAGGTTAGGTTAGGTTAGGTTAGGTTAGGTTAGGTTAGGTTAGTTAGTTACTAATTACTATTATTACGCTTACTATTATTTGGTTATCTCTTTTCACTATGTCTGTACTAATCATGATGCATTTCCTCACTTAACAAGGGTCTGTTGAAAACACAGCAAATTACTACAGTCTCATGTAGAAACAAGAAAGAAGAAAGATCCATTCTCACAGATAATTTATTCCGTATTTTTTCAATTTCGATCGTCCGAACTACGAGGGTGGATTGATAAGTTTCCGGCCTGACCAAGAAAAACAAGGTTTTTAAAATTTTTTTTTTTTTATTTCTCAACATAATCTCCTCCAAGGCTGATACATTTCTCATAGCGGTGTTCCAGTCTATTAATGCCATCTCTATAGACTGATTCGTCAAGCTCCTCAAAATAACCATTTACAGCTTCGATTACTTCTTCATTGTCCGCAAATCTCTTACCGCCAAGCCATTTTTTGAGATTAGGGAACAGAAAATAGTCACTCGGGGCTAGGTCTGGAGAGTAAGGAGGGTGCGGCATCAATTCAAACTTTAGATCGTTGATTTTAGCCGTCGCAACGATTGACGTGTGCGCTGGTGCGTTATCGTGATGAAACAAGATTTTTTTCTTCGCCAGATGAGGTCGTTTAATTTTCACCTCGTGGCTCAAACGTTGCAATAAGTCTGCGTAGTATTGACCAGTGATAGTATTACCCTTTGCAAGGTAATCAATGTATATAATACCTCTTGCATCCCAAAAAACAGTAGCCATAACCTTGTTCGCCGAAAAAATTGTTTTTGCCTTCTTTGGAG